GGGGTACTTCCCTCCTCCTGCTGCTTCCTCCTCTGCCTCCCCCCCCCGCGAGTATCGCGGGTCCCCCCTTGTATACAACTACTTCTGACACAAGGCCAGATATCGTTGTGGCCCCAAATAGAAACTTTTTGGTGTGTCATTCAATTCCATATTGGAAGTAAGTATATTTGGGCACAGTAAAATATCTTTTAATACTGGACGGAATTTTCAATTGAATCGTTAAATATTGATCTAAAACATTTTTTTTTCTTTCTGTACAGCATTCCAATTTTGGTCCTATTTTATTTATCGTTCATTGCCTTACACGTGTTACAGGGACTCTGTTGCTTGTTGTATTCTGCACTATTTGACCTCGGAAAAAGGCTGAGCCAAAACGTGTCAGGTCTTTTGTCTGTATTTGTAACTTTGTACCATTTATGAGGCTTTATTTGGGCCCCTACTAGGTTTTTATATGCCTTTGTAATAAACACTCTTTTGTACACTTACTTACGTTTTTAACTTTTGGCCCTCAATTAGTGGTTAAGACGCTGAGCTGCAGACCGGAAGGTCGGTAGTTCGGCAGTCCGAGACCCGAATGTGCCGCATGACGGAGTGAGCTCCCGTCTCCGGCCCCAGCTCCTGCCAACCTAGCAGTTCGAAAGCAAGAAATTGGAAGTAGATAAAGAGGTACCACTTTGGTGGGAAGGTAACAGCGTTCCGTGTGCCTTGGTGTTTAGTCATGCCGGCCACATGACCACGGAAACGTCTTCAGACAGCGCTGGCTCTTCGGCTTGGAAACGGAGATAAGCACCGCATCCCTAGAGTCAGATTCGACTGGCTTTCGAGCAAGGGAAACCTAGTTTTCTAAACTTCCTCTGGAGCTTTGTCCTTTGTCGGTTTAGATATTTTCTCCTCTTTTTGGTGGGCGGGGGTGGGGAGCTGCCTGTTCCCCTCCCCTCGATATGAGATCACCGGTTTTAGGAGAGTCGGGACAGGTGCTTCCCTTCTGGGCAGCCGGGATCCGAAGCCACAAAGGGGAAAACCTCCTTAAACCTTTCAAAGCTCCGGAGCGGAGAAGCGCCGAGGCCAGGTGGTTGGGGGAAACGGTCTCCCGCAACAGAAGATGCCTTAGGGGACAACGGCTCCGAGTCCTCCACCCAACAAGGGAAGCCGCATGAAAAGGGCTGTCAAACGAGTAATCCTATTTAATACGTCGGGCTTTGAGCAGACTAACTGGCTGATTTCCCTGACCCGGGCGGCCCGGGCTCGCTTGATCTTGTCCTATTTCGGGAGCTAAGCAGGGCCGGCCTCGGTTCATGCTCGGATGGGAAACCACCAAGGAAGCCCAGGGTCGCTACACAGAGTGTCATGCCTGCCCTTGACTCGGCCCCAGAGCCAGCTCCTGACAGCCTAAGAGGGGAGGATTCCGTGCCTTTAAGAGCCGAAGAAGCATCAGGATCTGCACCTACCGTAAGTACTGAGGAGGATACACAGCAATCTGAGTCAACTACAGGACAGTTTGCACCTGGGATTGAGCAGGCCATAAGCAGCCCCCCCCCTGCATCTCCCCCACCTGTAAATTGGCTTAGGGATCGGAGACGTCAGGAGCTGGCTAGCCGACGAAAAGAAGCACGTTCAAGCGGGCGGAGATCCTTGAGCCCTGAGTTTTAACAGCAGCCAGGACCTCGCACAAAGGTGCTAATGAGTTAATGGGCCAGAGCACTATTTAGTAGGGCCTCTGGCCATGAGCAAGTTGTGCTGGCAACCTCATTCATAGAACCGGAAGCTCTGCACCTTGATTCCTGTTTGACTCTGTGGCTTTTGACTCTGTGGGTTGTGTTTGGACTGCTCTGGCTCCTGACTTCCAGCTTTGAACCTGACCACGCCCTCGGCTTTGCTCCCTGTACTCTGACCTCTGGTAACGTTTGACTACGGCTCTGTCTGGTGTTTTGGGACTTGTTTAATGCTCTGCTGACTGCTCTCTCGGCTGACCTTTGGACTTGTATTGTGATTCCCTCTGTCTGCCTGCCTCCCTGGCTCTACCGTGACACAGAGACCGTTGTTGTTAGCCACTCAGTTGTGTTCGACTCTTGGCAATTTAATGGGCCAGCTCTCTCCGCGTTTTCCGATCTTGTCTGGTTTCTTTGGGTTCTTCCTCGCTCAGGCTGGTGTTGACTTTTATGGTGTCTGGCCACCGTGTTCTTTGGCGGCCAATTTGATGTGGTGGTTAAGTGAGCGGACTTGAATCTGGGAGGGCCGGGTTTGATTCCCCACGCCTCCACTTGCAGCTGCTGGATGACTTTAGGCAAGGCACAGTTCTCTCAGAGCTGTTCTTGAAAAAGAGCAGATTCCGTCAGAGATCCGTCAGGCCAACCTCCCTCGCAGTGTCTGTGGTGGGGAGGGGAAGGGAAAGGAGTTTGTAAGCCGCTCTGAGACACCTTTGGGTAGTAAAGGGCGGGGTATAAATCCAATCTCCTCTTCCTCCTCCTCCTCTTCTTCTTCTACCTTGGCCATGTATTATCAAATGTTGATTTTGGTTGTCCTTTCAAAGCTAAAGTCAGTTTGTCCATCTCCACCGGTTTGATGTTGTGTAAGACTCTAATCTGGGAGAACCGGGTTTGATTCCCCATTCCTCCATTTGTACCTGGCTGGATGATCTTGGGCAAGCCATAGTTCTCTCAGAGCTGTTATCTCAAGGACAGTTTCTGTCAAGAGCTCTCTCAGCCCCGCCTACCTTGCAGGGTGTCTGTTGTGGGGAGGGGGAAGGGAAAGGAGTTTGTAAGCCCCTCTGAGACTCCGAGTGAAGGGCGGGGTATAAATCCAATCTCTTCTTCTTCTTGCCGCTAACTAATCCAAGCAAAATTGCTTTTTTCTAGTGTGTTCTTCCACATTACATAGCCAAAATAAGTCAGTCGCAGTTTTGTGATTTTTCCTTCCCGATGGCATGTCTGGTTTTATGCCCTTCGATACGTGCTTGTGCAGTCCAAGGAATGTGCAGGTAGGCACACAGAGGGAGGCAATGGCAAACCGCCTCTGAATGTCTCTTGCCTTGAAAACCCTACAAGGTAGCCGTGAGTCAGGTGCGACCGGACGGCAGAGTTTCCACCACCAATCGGATGACTGCATTTAAATACATATTGGCCCTGACTTGGATAGCGCAGGCTGGCCCGATCTCGTCAGATCTCGGAAGCTAAGCAGGGTCAGCCCAGCAGCTGCATGTGGAGGAGTTGGGACTCAAACCCGGTTCTCCCAGACTGGAGTCCGCGCTCCTAACCACTACAACAAATTGGGACATTTAACTTCTTGGGAACAGATTAACTTCACAAAGGTTAACTTGCTACAGCTCGAACCCCAGGTAAGAGAGAGAGAGAGAGAAGAAGAAGAGTGAAGAAGAGTGGGGGGGGTCAACAGTGGGAGGGCTTCTAGTGTCCTGGCCCCACTGGTGGACCTCCTGATGGCCCCTGGTATTTCTGGCCACTGTGTGACACAGAGTGTTGGACTGGATGGGCCTTTGGCCTGATCCAACATTGGCGGCTCTTATGTTCTTAAGAAGAGATTGGATTTATACCCCACCCTTCACTACCCAAGGGAGTCTCAGAGTGGCTTACAAACTCCTTCCCCTTCCCCTCCCCACAACAGACACCCTGTGAGGTAGGTGGGGCTGAGAGAGCTCGTTTGAGGACTGCCCTCGAGAGAACTGCTCTGAGAGAACTTAAGACTGACCCAAGGTCACACCGGCAGCTGCATTTGGAGGAGTAGTGGAATCAAACCCGGTTCTCCCAGATTAGAGTCTACACTTCTAACCACTACGCCAAATTTGCTCTTAAGCAGGGCTACTTTTGGGCAGGAACACGCAGGAACGGAGTTCCGGCTGGCTCCCAAGTTGGCCACGCCCAGCAGGAACTCATTAGCATAATAGGCCACACCCAACAGCAGAAACTCATTAGCATAATAGGCCACACCCAACAGCAGAAACCCATTAGGATAGGCTACGTTAGGGGCGTGTGGCCTAACATGCAAAGGAGTCCCTGCTCCAAAAAAAGGCCCTGGGTTTTGACAACAAACAAGGTAAACCGAATAAGAAGCAAAAGGTGGGTGTGGCTGGATGACCACACTTCTGGTAACATGGGGGTGCGTCCTAATGTGCTAATGAGCTGTGCTGTCAGGGTTGTGGCCTAATATGCTAATGAGTTTCTGCTGTTGGGTGTGGCCTATTATGCTAATGAGTTCCTGCTGGGCTTTTTCTACAAAAAGAGCCCTGCACCACATCTTATCCCAGAGGTAATTTGCAAGAATATTTCAAAGACGATTCCACTGAAGTCACAGCTTTCCTAATTCAAGGAATTAGCTACGTTTTCAAACCGAGGTTCCCCCCCTGCATCTACTGTGGCTGCAAACAAAACGGAGCCTCTGGTGTGTGTGTGTGTGTGGGGGAAACAAGGCAGAGGAGCCGATCCCCCCTGCGCGCCACACGTCCTCCTCTCCGGCTTACCTGTGCAGTTGTGCCCATCGCCAGCATACCCGGGGAGGCACATGCAGCTGAAAGAGCCGCCCCCATGGTGCACGCAGCGTGCCCGATCCACAGGGGCACAGGTGTGGGTGCCTTCGGCGCAAGGATCGGATGGCGGCGCTACGGCTGAAAAGGAGAAAAAGAGAGTGGGGGGGGGAGATGGATTGGGAGCACCTTCCTGGGTGTGAGCGGCCATGCGCTGGGTCCGACCCTCTAGCCTCACATGGTCAGACTGGCCTCCTCTGACTGGCAGTGCCTCTCCTGGGTTTTAGCCAGAGGTCATTCACATCGCCCAAACACATCGGGGAACGCCAGTATGGGGTGGCGCTCTGCTACACACACATCCCAATGCTACACCCCCCCTCCCCCAGTGGCCCCACTGCTGGACCTCCTGATGGCACCTGGTATTTCTGGCCCCTGTGTGACACAGAGTGTTGGACTGGATGGGCCTTTGGCCTGATCCAACATTGGCTTCTCTTATGTTCTTATGTTTACTCCCACCTCTGGGGCTGCTGAGTGCGAGCTCCATCACAGTAAAGCTGCCTTTATTCTGGCACACAGCCTCAGGCAGAAGAAGAAGAGGAGATTGGATTGATACCCCACCTTCACTTGGAGTCTCAGAGCAGCTTACAATCTCCTTTCCCTTCCCCTCTTCCTCAAGAGAGCTCTCTCAGGTCTACCTACCTCACAGGGCATCTCTTGTGGGGAGGGGAAGGAAAAGAAGTCTGTAAGCCGCTCTGAGACTCCTTCGGGTAGTGCCAGTTTGGTGTCGTGGTTAAGTGCGCGGACTCTAATCTGGGAGAACCAAGTTTGATTCCCCACTCCTCCACTTGCACCTGGCTGGATGACCTTGGGCAAGCCATAGTTCTGTCAGAGCTGTTCTTGAAAAAGAGCAGTTTCTGTCAGAGCTCTCTCAGCCCCGCCTACCTCACAGGGCGTCTCTTGTGGGGAGGGGAAGGGAAAGGAGTTTGTAAGCCACTCTGAGACTCCTTTGGGTAGTGCCAGTTTGGCATAGTGGTTAAGAGCGTGGACTCTAATCTGGGAGAACCGGGTTTGATTCCCCACTCCCCCACTTGCAGCTGCTGGATGACCTTGGGCAAGCCGTAGTTCTGTCAGAGCTGTTCTCTCAAGGGCAGTTCTCTCAGAGCTCTCTCAGAGCTCTCTCAGCCCCGCCGACCTCACAGGGTGTCTGTTGTGGGGAGGGGAAGGGAAAGGAGTTTGTAAGCCGCTTGGAGACTCCGAGTGAAGGGCGGGGTATAAACCCAATCACCTCTTCTTCTTCTTCTAGTGAAGGGCGGGGTATAAACCCAATCTCCTCTTCTTCTCTGTCTTCCCCAGGCTTCACCCCTAAACCTCCAGGAGTTTCCCAAACTGGAGCTGGCAACCCGACCTGTGTGGCATTAGACCCCCAGATAAAGCCCCGCCCCTCCTCAAACCCCGCCCTCCCCGGGGCTTCACCCCCAACCCCCCCCCCCCTTCCCCCCCCCCCCAATGCCTCTCTCTGCTGCTGGCAGCGGCTGAACATGAAAAGCTAATTAATACCACGCCGGAAAAAACCGTTTCGGGCCAAACCCTGATGTCATTTGAAGGGAAGTGGCAAATCTCCCCCCCCCCCACCCCGACATCAGCAGAAGCCTGGGAAAAGGCAGAAGAGCCAAAAGGCTTGGGGGGGGGGAGGCGGTGTTCAGCCGGGATTCTTTCCTGAAACTTCACATGGAGGCCGGGCAGGCAGGAGGTCGGGGAGGACCAGGGTATGAGTACTGAGTATCCCACAGGAGCAATATTCCCTTTAAGCTGTGGAGTCTTGTGAGCAAAAATTCTGCTTTGTGAGCCGCTGGCATTCAAGTCGTGAGCGAGCGGTTTGGCTACTGCATAAATCAGTTTGCTCTGGAGCCCTCCTTCCTGAGCTAAGGCAAAAATGCGTGAGCTGGAGGCTAAAGAACTGTGAGCCAGCTCACACCAACTCAGCTTAGAGGGAACACTGCACAGGAGCGCTGAAGAAGCAGCCTGAGATGATACCGGGTGCCGGCAGCGCTCCCTCTAAGCTGCGGAGCCTTGTGAGCAAAAATCCCTGCTTTGTGAGCCGCTGGCATTAAAGTCGTGAGCGAAGCGATTGGGCTGCTGCAGGGATTAATTTGCTCTGGAGCCCTCCCTTCCTGAGCTAAGACAAAAATGCGTGAGCCGGAGGCTAAAAAAACTGTGAGCTGGCTCACACTAGCTCAGCTTAGAGGGGACACTGGGCGCAGGATTCGTCTCCCTGAGAATTGTAGCTCTGGTTAGAAACCGCAAGTTTCCAGTTGTCCAAGCCCCAAAGGTAATGATCAAAGTGCTTGTGTGTGTGTGTGTGCTGCAGGGGTCCCCGACAAGGCGCCCGTCGGCAACATGGGCAACATGGGGCCTGCCGACATCTTTCCAGGTGCCCACCAAGTGTTTGCAGAAAGCGGGTGGAGCCCAGTGTTCCCTCTAAGCTGAGTTAGTGAGAGCTAGCTCACAGTTTTTTTAGCCTCCGGCTCACACATTTTTGTCTTCGCTCAGGAAGGAGGCCTCCAGAGCAAACTAATTTATGCAGCCAAATTTGCTCGCTCACAACTTTAATACCAGTTGCTTGCAAAGTAGAATTTTTGCTCACAAGACTCCACAGCTTAGAGGGAGCATTGGTGGAGCAGGGCTTCTGATAGGCTACTTAGATCCCTTTCGCACACACTACTGCCAAGACAAGTCTCCCCCATCCTATAATTATGCATTTGATTTTTTTCCCTACCTAAATGCAGAACTTTACATCTATCCCCGTTGACATTCATTTTACTTGTTTCAGCCCAGTTTTCCCGCCTGTCAAGATCATCCTGTATCCTGACTCCGTCTTCTACTGTATTTGCTACCCCTTCCAATTTAGTATCATTTGCAAATTTAATAAGCATTCTCTCTATCCCTTCATCCAAATCACTGATAAAGCTGTTGAACAAAACAGGTCCCAGGACAGATCCTTGAGGCACTCCTCTCCGAGAGGACGAGGAACCACTCACAAGCACTCTTTGGGCTTGCCCAGGCCGAGGCAAATTGCGGCCAAATGCTGAATTTGCGGCCTCACAGCCCGGAGCAGTTCTTCCTCAAAGAGGACTAGCCTCTCACCTAGACAACTGGCTCTGTCAGCTGCCAGCTGGAACCCGCTGGGGCACTCGCACCGGTAGCTGCCCACGGTATTCACACACACCGACTCCCGGCTGCACCGACTGATGCCCTCGGCACACTCGTTGATGTCTAAGGAGAGCAGAAGAGAGGAGATCAGTGTTCTGTTATTTATTCATTTGCGGTTTTTTATAGTCCGCCTTGCTCACTTGAACTCAAGGCAGCTGACGCAGAGTGAGTCAATACAAATGACAGATGGGGCATAGAATCATAGAGTTCCTTAGAGTTAAAAAGGGTCCCAGAGGAGATCCAGGAAAGTACAGGCCAGTCAGTCTGACGTCGATACTGGGTAAGTTGGTGGGAACTGTTATTAAGGAGAGAGAATTAGTAGGCACATTGACGAACAGAAACTATTGAGGCAGACTCAGCATGGGTTCTGTAACGGAAGATCTCACCTCACTAACCTGTTAGTGTTCTTTGAGGGGGTAAACAAACATGTGGACAAGGGGGACCCAAGAGATGTTGTTTACCTTGACTTCCAGAAAGCTTTTGATAAAGTTCCTCATCAAAGGCTCCTAAGTAAGCTCAATAGTCACGGGATAAAAGGACAAGTCCTCTTGTGGATCAAAAACTTGCTGATTAATAGGAAACAGAGAGTGAGTATAAATGGGAAATTTTCTCAGTGGAGGGTGGTAAGCAGCGGGGTACCACAGGAATCAGTACTCGGTCCAATGCTATTTAACTTGTTTATTAATGATTTGGAGTAAGCAGTGAAGTGGCTAAATTTGCAGATTACACGAAGTTGTTCAGGGTAGTAAGAACCAGGGAGGATTGTGAGGCACTCCAAAGGGGTCTGTCGAGGATGGGCAAGTGGGCGTCAGGGTGGCAAATGGGGTTCAATGTGGCCAAGTGCAAAGTGATGCACATTGGATCCAAAAATCCTGATTCTAAATACACGTTGATGGGGTCTGAACTGGCAGAGACTGACCAAGAGAGAGATCTTGGAGTCGTAGTAGATAACTCACTGAAAATGTCGAGACAGTGTGTGACTGCAATATAAAAAGCCAACACTATGCTGGGGATTATTAGGAAGGGGATTGAAAACAAATCAGCCAATATCATAATGCCCCTCATTTGGAGTAGTGTGTACAGTTCTGGTCACCACACCTCAAAAAAGATATTATGGCATTGGAAAAAGTGCAGAAAAGGGCAACTCGGATGATAAAAGGGTTGGAACACTTTCCCTATGAAGAAAGGTTAAAGTGCTTGGGGCTCTTTCGCTTGGAGAAACGACGGCTGAGGGGAGACATGATCGAGGTTTATAAGATTATGCATGGGAAAGAGCAGGTAGAGAAAGAGGTCCTTTTCTCCCTTTCTCACAAGACACGAACTCGTGGGCACTCAATGAAATTGCTGAGTGGTCGGGTTAGAACGGATAAAAGGGAGTCCTTCTTCACCCAGAGAGTGATTAACACGTGGAATTCATGGCCACAGGAGGTGGCGGCGGCTACAAGCATGGAAGGCTTCAAGAGGGAATTGGATAAACATATGGAGCAGAGGTCCATCAGTGGCTATTAGCCGCGAAGTATAGATAGGAACTCTTGGTCTGGGGCGAGTGATGCTCTGTCATCTTGGTGCTTGGGGGGGGGGGCAACAGTGGGAGGGCTCCTGGAGTTCTGGCCTCACTGGCGGACCTCCTGATGGCCCCTGGTATTTTTGGCCACCGTGTGACAGAGTGTTGCACTGGATGGGCCCTTGGCCTGATCCAACACTGGCTTCTCTTATGTTCTTATGTTGTTAGGAATTCCCGGTCTGGGGCAAGTGATGCTCTGTCTTCTTGGTGCTTGGGGGGGGGGGGCAATCAGTGGGATGGCTTCTAGTGTCCTGGCCCCACTGCTGGACCTCCTGATGGCCCCTGGTATTCTTGGCCACTGTGTGACAGAGTGGTGGACTGGATGGTCCTTTGGCCTGATCCAACACTGGCTTCTCTTATGTTCTTATGTTGTTAGGAACTCTCGGTCTGGGGCAAGGGATGCTCTGTCTTCTTGGTGCTTGAGGGGGGGCAACAGTGGGAGGGCTTCTAGTGTCCTGGCCCCACTGGTGGACCTCCTGAGGGCCCCTGGTGTTTTTGGCCACTGTGTGACACAGGGTGGTGGACTGGATGGGCCTTTGGCCTGATCCAACATTGGCTTCTCTTGTGTTCTTGTGTTCTTATGAATGGACCTCCAGGTATGTTTAGCCTAGAGAGGAGACAACTGAGAGGTGATACGATAATCATCTTCAAGTACTTGAAGGACTGGGCCTATAGAGGATGGTGCGGAGTTGCAATTTAGAGATCTGTCCTGGCAACAGCTTTCTATTGGCTCAATGGCTTTTCTTTCTGCACTGAGAACTTCGGCCCCGCCGGGGGGGAAAGTTTGCCCCGCAAGCCACGAAAATCTGGCCACGGGCCTGGGCTGCAGAAAGACAGGAGACCTCCTCAAGAGGGCCATTCCACAACATGGGGGGAATAAGAGAGAAGGTACGTGTGGGGGCAGCTGTTGATTTTTGCCCGTTGGCAGCTCGGCACCAGCAGAAGGCCCCGGCCAGATGAGCGGAACTGTCACGGCAGAGCAGAGTGTGAGAGGCGGTCTTGCCGATATGAGGGTCCGAGGCCTTGAAGAGCTTTGGATGTGATAGCCAGTCCCTTAAATTGAGCCCGGTAGCTGACGGGCAGCCAGTGGAGTGCCCGGAGGATGGGAATAATATGCATTCTAATGCTTACTTTAAAAACATCAACAACCTCAGATATGCATACGATACCACTCTAATGGCAGAAAGTGAAGAGGACCTCAAGAGCCTCTTGCTGAGGATGAAAGAGGAGAGCGCAAAGGTTGGCTTGAAACTCAACATCAAAGATCATGGCATCCGGCCCCATCACGCCTTGGCAAAGAGGAGGAGGAGGAGATTGGATTATATACCCCGCCCTTCACTACCCAAAGGAATCTCAGAGTGGCTTACAAACTCCTTTCCCTTCCCCTCCCCACAACAGACACCCTGTGAGGTAGGTGGGGCTGAGAGAGCTCTTTCAAGGACAGCTCTTGTCAGAACTATGGCTTGCCAATTCGCCTCCCCAAATACAGATGTGGCATGACAAAATATGGGACCTATTTATTTTGGATAAGCTGACGCAGGTCACTCAAGTTAATACGTCCAATACATCAAAGGCACATGATAGGTTTGTAGCGGTTTGGTATAAGGTGCTTCAGTATATGTCAGAAAAAGACAAATACCGCTTATGCTCCGTGGATACGTTTCTAGGGGTTTGCAGATTCACAGCGTAGGAGGTAGCACATTAGAATCGATCGCCATTGGGGAAACGGGCTCGATTGTCTTTTGTCTCTTTAACTGGTTTGCGGATAAGGGGGTTATAAGTATGGTTAGTGGGTTAAGCTACAATGGGATCTGGGAATGTCTGTTTAGCTTATCACTCACTGTAAAGAAGGCAGTTTGTGATTTGTATGTCTTGGTTGTTGCTCTCTTGTGTTTTCTATTAATAAAAGGAAAAAAAAAGAACTATGGCTTGCCCAGGGTCATCCAGCAGCTGCAAAGAAAGGAGTGGGGAATCAATCCCCAAGTAGAGGAGTGAGGGAAGAAGGAGGAGGAGAAGGAGATTGGATTTATACCCGGCCCTTCCCAAGGGAGTCTCAGAGTGGCTTACAAACTCCTTTCCCTCCCCCTCCCCACAACAGACACCCTGTGAGGCAGGTGGGGCTGAGAGAGCTCTTGACAGAAACTGCTCTTTTTCCAGGACAGCTCTTGTCAGAACTATGGCTTGCCCAAGGTCATCCAGCAGCTGCAAGTAGAGGAGTGGGGAATCAAACCCGGTTCTCCCAGATTAGAGTCCGCGCACTTAACCACGACACCAAACTGGCTGGACTGGAAGGGGAAGTCGTGGAAGCAGTGACAGGATTCACGTTCTTGGGATCCAAGATCACTGCAGACGGTGACTGCATCCATTTAATTAAAAGATGCCTGCTCCTTGGGAGGAAAGCGATGGCGAACCTAGACAGCATGATTAAAAGTAGTGACATCTCCCTGCCAACAAAAGTCCGCGTGGTCAAAGCAATGGTATTCCCAGTTGTCATGTATGGCTGTGAGAGTTGGACTATCAGGAAGGCCGAGCGCCGAAGAATAGATTCTTTTGAACTATGGTGCTGGAGAAGACTCTTGAGAGTCCCTTGGACTGCAAGGAGATCAAATTAGTTCATCCTAAAAGAAATCAACCCTGACTGTTCCCTGGAAGGCCGGATACTGAAGCTGAAGCTCAAAGACTTTGGCCACCCAATGAGACGGGCACACTCACTGGATGCTGGGAAAGATTGAAGGTCAAAGAAGAAGGGGACGGCAAAGGATGAGGTGGTTAGATAGTGTTATCGATGCCACAAGCATGAAGTTAAGCAAACTTCAGAGGACAACGGGGGACAGGAGGGCCTGGCGTGACAACAACAAATGCTTACTTCTAGGCCTAGAGAAGAGTGTTTGTCCTAACAAGACAGAGAGCTTCAGAGGACTTCTCATTATCAGCTGCAGTCTCCAGAACTCCCCCCCCCCCAATCTGGCACATTCCGGCCAAGACACTCAGCCCCCTTCCAGCTACGAAAACACAACCGGAGCCAAACGATTCCAGATGTTTTCGGGGGGGAACAAAGTCCCAGGGCTGACGCTTCCAAACGTGTTTGAAAAACATACACAGTTTGGCTTTGACGACAGGAGCGATCCTCTTTCCCCGCAAAAGCTCCTTCAGAGTAACGGGAGTTCTGAGCAAGCGTGCGCTTCGGACAACTGCGGGGACTGCCGTTTGAAGCGAGCCTGCTCTATTCCCCAGTCCTTGCTTTAAAATCTAGCTGCTTCCCGCAGAGTCCTCTTAAGCAGCGGGCCGATGTGCTGGTGATGACACGGAATGTTCATAAATATTCTGTCTACAGAGGGAGAAGAGTTCAGGCCCACAGTTCCCCAATAAGGATTTTAAACAATTGGTTTGGTTAAGGGAGGAGGAGGAGGAAGAAGAAGAAGAAGAAATAATAATAACAACAACAACAACTGGATTTATACCCTGCCCTTCACTACCCAAAGAAGTAGTCTCAGGGAGGTTTACAATCTCCTTTCCCTTCCCCTCCCCACGACAGACACCCTGTGAGGTAGGTGGGGCTCAGAGAGCTCTTTCGATGACAGCTCCTGAAAGAACAGCTCCGAGAGAACTTGTGACTGACCCAAGGTCACCCAGCTGGCTGCATGCGGAGGAGTGGGGAATCAAACCCGGTTCTCCTAGATTAGAGTCCGCGCTCTTAACCACTGCACCAAACTGCCTCTCAAAACCCCACACAAAACCTCACAGGGAAGGCACTACAGGCATATGTGGCAGGAAGCACCACGAGTATAATTGTGTAGATGCTAGCAAAGTGAACATACACCTGAAGTCATACAGATCGTGAGGGAGTTCTCACGTGTGACAGTTCCTCACACAGGAGTCCTGAATTCAGATCCCCACCTGGCCCTGAAGATCATTAGGTGACCCTGGGCGAATCACTCACTTTTCTCAGTCTTGCCTACCTCAATAGCTGGTGTGACACCAGAACAGGAGAAAGCCAGATACATTGCCCTGAGCTTCTCAAAGAAAGGATGGGACGAGAACGGACAGACAGACATCCCTTTCCTTCAGTGCAGCTATGTGCACTTGAAACCCGACCACGTTCCAGTCCACCATGGGAATAAGGCAGCTTCACAAATCTCCGAAGTTACTAGCTTACCTGGAGGAGGAGGAGATTGGATTTATACTCCACTCTTCACTTGGAGCCTCAGAGCGGCTTACAAACGTCTGTCCCTTCCCCTTCCCACAACAGACACCCTGTGAGCTAGGTGGGGCTGAGAGAGCTCTTTCAAGGACAGCTCTTGTCAGAACTATGGCTTGCCCAGGGTCATCCAGCAGCTGCAAGTAGAGGAGTGGGGAATCAAACCCGGTTCTCCCAGATTAGAGTCCGCACACTTAACTACTACACCAAACTGGCCTACGTGACTGGCTTTCTGGGGGGCTGCAAATTTTAGAAACACCACTCTCTTGCCATTCACAAAACTGTCCTTGACTGATTGCCTGGGAACAACTCTCAGTTCGCCATAGGTAACCAAGCGCAAAACTATTCCCAAGCCTAGTTAGAAGCATGGCCCTTCAGCCTGCTGTTGTAGAACCGCTGCTTGCTGCTTCTCGCGCTGCCAAAAACTGAACGTCTGGGTCAGGACTGAGGTTTATCATTATTTCTCTGTGAAGAACCACAGGACCGTCACCTAGAAAAGCCCAGATGTTTTGCAAAGAGGAAGCAAGACCAGAGAGTAAACTTCTGCACCTCTGGAAGTTGCGTTGACGCATTCCCCATGTACTTATTCAGCTTGGCGATCACACATGTTGATTTTCAGCCTGAGAAGGTACCCTACGGCCACATAACAATTCTACAGCAAGAATGCTACAATGACAACAACAGCCGTTTAAAACAACTTATGCATTAAAATATTAGGCACGGTGTGACCACAACAGACATCGGCCCATGAGCTATTCAGTTCCAAGGCCTTCCGAAAAAGAAACATCTTCAAACACAGGGCTCAGACATCTTCTCATTCGACCCATAAAGCAGTCAACTGCCCCAATTTGCCTTGGGGCAAGCAGGGAATGGAGAGGTGTTTAACCCTTCGAACGCCACTTGGTTTCACTGTTCATAACCTGGCTCCCAGCTCTGTCGTTAGCATTTTCAAGAGAAGGCATAAAGGGCACATCTTTTCTCCTTCAGTTTGGTGTAGTGGTTAAGTGTGCGAACTCTAATCTGGGAGAACCGGGTTTGATTCCCCACTCCTCCACTTGCACCTGGCCGGATGACCTTGGGCCAGTCACAAGCTCTGTCAGAGCTGTCCTTGAAAAAGAGCAGTTTCCGTCAGAGCTCTCTCAGCCCCACCCACCTCACAGGGTGTCTGTTGTGGGGAGGGGAAGGGAAAGGAATTTGTAAACCGCTGTGAGACTCCAAGTGAAGGGCGGGTTATAAATCCAATCTCCTCTCCTCCTCCTCCTCCTCTTCAAAAAGCTAAAAACAGAGCTGGTCTCAAAGAGTGAAAAAAACCCTGTATATGGCGTGGCCTCATTTGGAACACTATGTACAGTTCTGGCCATCTCCAAGAGGGGATTGGATAAACCTATGGAGCAGAGGTCCACAAGGTATAGATGGAAGATGCTGTCTGGGGCAGTGATGCCCTGTATTCTTGGGACTTGGGGGGGAAACAGTGGGAGGGCTTCTGGAGTTCTGGCCCCCGCTGGTGAACCTCCTGATGGCCCCTGGGTTTTGGCCACTGTGTGACATGGAGTCTTGGACTGGATGGGCCACTGGCCTGATCCAACATGGCTTCTCTTATGTTCTTATAAGGGGACTGGATGAACAATCTGGAGCAGAGGTCCATCAGGGGGTATTGGCCACAAGGTGTAGATGGAACACTCTGTCTGGGGCAGTGATGCTCTGTCCTCTTGGTTCTTGGTTTGGGGGGGGGGCACAGTGGGAGGGCCTCTGGAGTTCCGGCCCCTGAGGGCACCTGAATTTTGGCCACTGTGTGACACAGAGTATTGGACTAGAGGGGCCACTGGCCTGATCCAACATGGGTTCTTATGTTCTTATGTCTGCGGAGGTGATGCTCTGTATTCTTGGTGCTCGGGGGGCAAGAGTGAGACTGCTTTTGGAGTTCTGTCCCCGCTGGTGGACCTCCTGATGGCACCTGGGCTTTGGCCACTGTGTGTGACACAGAGTATTGGACTGGATGTGCCATTGGCCTGATCCAACATGGCTTCTCTGATGTTCGTATGTCTGGGGCAGAGATGCCCTGTATTCTTGGGGCTTGGGGGGAAACAGTGGGAGGGTTTCTAGAGTTCTGGCCCTGCTGGTGGACCTCCTGATGGCCCCTGGGCTTTGGCCACTGTGTGACACAGAGTGTTGGACTGGATGAGCCACTGACCTAATCCAACATGGCTTCTCTTATCTTCTTATGTCTGAGGCAGTGATGCTTTGCGTTCTTGGTGCTTGGGGGTGGGGGCAACAGTGGGAGGGCTTCTGGAGTTCTGGCCCTGCTGGGAGACCTCCTGTTGGCCCCTGGGTTTTGGCCACTGTGAGACACAGAGTACTAGACTGGATGGGCCACTGGCCTGATCCAACAAGGCTTCTCTTATGTTTGTAAGTGGCAGCGGTAGGGTTAAACCTCACTCTCTGTTTCCTGCAGAAATTGGAATACTGTGTGCAATTCTGGTCACCACACCTTAAAAAGGATATTATAGCAGAAAAGGGCAACTCGAATGATAAAAGGGTTAGAACACTTTCACTATGAGGAAAGGTTAAGGCGCTTAGGGCTCTTTCGCTTGGAGAAACGACGACTGAGGGGGTGACATGATTGAGGTTTATAAGATTGTGCATGGGAAAGAGCAGGTAGAGAAAGAGGGACTTTTCTCCTTTTCTCACAATACAAAAAACCTGAGAGGTGCGTGTTCGCCACCACCTCTGGATCTCAAAGACGGGGCAGGCTGATGTGAGCAGAGGTGGTCCTTCGGGTATTCCACACCCGAGCCGCTCAAGGCTTTCAAGGACGCCATCGGCATCTTGAACTGAGCCCCCCAAAGCACCAGCAGCCACGACAACCCCCTACCTGTGCATTCCTTGCCGTCTCCCCAGTAACCGGCGGTGCACTCGCAGGTATAATCCAGACCGGAGCCTGCCTGGCAGCGTGCCGTAGTGTCGCACGAGTGGGTGCCGTCGTAGCACGGGTTCAACGTGGTCGGAGCAGAATCGTCTGGATAGGCAAGGAATGCAGAGAAGTGACTGTTTGTCCCTTTATTATTTCTATACCGCCCGTAGCCGAAGCTCTCAGGGTGGTTTACAGCAAGTATAAAAACAAAAGAACACAACAGATCAGACATTAAGAGTTAAAAACTAATTTAAAATAACACAAATATTGAATGGCATTGAAAACAATAGACCAGACCCCCCCAAAAAAAGACCTAGCCCAAAGCAAAAGAGCAGTAATTGTATCGGGCCCCTGCATGACCAGGGAGGTCTTTAAAGGCCTCCGCAAAGAGGGCTGTCTTAACCTGGCGCCAAAAAGATGGCAAATCTGGTGCCAGGCGGGGGCAGCGGGGAGGTTGTTCCAAAGACAGGTAAAGGTAAAGGTTCCCTTGCTCGAAAAGCCAGTCGAATCCGACTCTAGGGTTGCGGTGCTCATCTCCGTTTCCAAGCCTAAGAGCCAGCGCCGTCCGAAGACGTTTCCATGGTCATGTGGCCGGCATGACTAAACACCGAGGCACACGGAATGCTGTTACCTTCCCACCGAAGTGGTACCTATTTATCTACTTGCAATTTCTTGCTTTCGAACTGCTAGGTTGGCAGGAGCTGGAACTAGAGACAGGAGCTCACGCCGTCATGCGGCACACTCAGGTCCCAAACTGCTGAACTACCGGCCTCCCACAGCCTGCAGTTCAGCGTCTTAACCCCTTGAGTCACTGCAGCTCCAAAGACAGGGGCCACCCCCAAAAAGGCCCTCCCCCAAAAAAGGCCCTCCCCCCTCAAGGGGTTGGCACCCAGCGGAAGGCCCCAGAGGTTGAGCGTAGTGTCCGGAGAGATGGGGTTTGGAAGAGGCGCGCCAACAGATACTGTGGTCCCTAGCCGTGCAGGTTAGGAGGAGACCCACTGCTTGGTGCCAGTATCACAGTGTTTATTAAAATAAAGAGACAAAAGAAATATGGTAAGTGCAACCAGCTGTATTCTTTCTTGGGAACTGGAAGCAAGCTAGCCACATCTTGCAGTTCTAGTGAGCAGAGGACCTAAAATGTGACGTTAAAGCAGATGTTCACTTACACAGAGTACATAAGCACATTCATAAAACTCATCCTTGGAGAGTGATGTCAGCCTCACCTTTACCATCTGTCTGAAGAAGTGAGAACTGACTCAAGAAAGCTCATAGTTAAAGGTAAAGGTTCCCTTGCTCGAAAGCCAGTCGAGTCCAACTCTAGGGTTGCAGTGCTCATCTCCGTTTCAAAGCCGAAGAGCCAGCGCTGTCCGAAGACGTTTCCGTGGTCATGTGGCCGGCATGACTAAACACCGAGGCGCACGGAACACTGTTCCCTTCCCACCGAAGTGGTACCTCTTTTACTTGCAATTTCTTGCTTTCGCACTGCTAGGTTGGCAGGAGCTGGAACTAGAGACGGGAGCTCACTCCGTCACGCGGCACACTCGGGTCTCAAACTGCTGAACTACTGACCTTCGACAGCCTGCAGTTCAGCATCTTAACCACCTGCGCCACCGCAGCTCCCAAGAAAGCCCATACCCTGCCACAAACACTGTTCCCTTCCCACCGAAGTGGTACCTCTTTTACTTGCAATTTCTTGCTTTCGCACTGCTAGGTTGGCAGGAGCTGGAACTAGAGACGGGAGCTCACTCCGTCACGCGGCACACTCGGGTCTCAAACTGCTGAACTACTGACCTTCGACAGCCTGCAGTTCAGCGTCTTAACCACCTGCGCCACCGCAGCTCCCAAGAAAGCCCATACCCTGCCACAAATTTTGTTAGTCTTTAAGGTGCTTCCTACCAACCTAGCAGTTCAAAAGCAAGAAACTGCAAATCGATAAATAGGTGGGAAGGTAACAGTGTGACAGAGTGTTGGACTGGATGGGCCATTGGCCTAGTCCAACATTGGCTTCTCTTATGTTCTTACGAATGAATGACCTCCAACCAATGCTCCCTTCTAAGCTGTAGAGTCTTGTGAGCAAAAATTGTGAGCTACTGGAATTAAAGTTGTGAGCAGTGTTCCTTATAAGCTGAGTTAGTGTGAGCTAGCTCACAGTTTTTTAGCCTCTGGCTCACCCATTTTTGCCTTCGCTCAGGAAGGAGGGCTCCGGGGAAATACTAATTGATGCAGCAGCCAAATGGTTTGCTCACCATTTTCATGCCGGTAGCTCACAAAGTAGAATTTTTGCTCACAAGACTCCACAGTGTAGAGGGAGCATTGGTTGTGAGCGAGCAATCTGGCTGCTACGTAAATGAGCTTGCTCTGGAGCTCTCCTTCCTGAGCGGAGACAAAAAAATGTCTGAGCTGGAGGCTAAAAAACTGTGAGCTGGCTCACACTCACTCCGCTTAGAGCGAACACTGCCTCCAGCATCCTCCAGTTAACAGCCTTGCTCAGGTCTTGCAAACGGAGGGCCTTTGTGGCTTCCTTGATTGAGCCAATCCGTCTTATATGGGGTCTCCCTCTTTCCC